GTAATTTTTATTGTTTCTTTAGAATATGTGCTGAAGCTAACAAAAAGTCATGGAATTTTATTAGCCTGAATTTATACCAAGATTAGGGAGGGGTGCTTGTTTGGTAGAGGAGAATTCTTACAATGCACTAATTTGAATGCTTATTCAAGAATGCAGCAACTAACAGGAGGGGAAAGGAAAGAAATAATGCAAACAATAAACTAAACTTTCACGTGTTTGACAAGCAAGAACTTCCTCCAGGTGATGAGAGAGGATTTTGGGGGAGGAAGAGTAATACAATTATTTTCCATTCAGGCTGTAACAAATGCAAGAAATGGTCAGCTTATCTGTACAAGATGAACATCAGAGGGGGGGGGGGAAGCTGTAAGCCAATAGCTGTTGCATACATGTCTGCAAGTAAAATTAGTAAGTAAAGCAAGTTAAGTCCGCAGTAAAGTTAGTGAGGACCCTAGTATACTGAGAACTAAACATTTCCAGAAATAATTGCCATACAAAAGCTTCATTTGAATTTTTTAAGAGAAGAAGACATTGTCATATTTTGAAAATTCTCATTATCATAAATCTAAGCTCAAATTCTGTATCAGCAAAAGTACATTTAATTAAGTAACTTCACTGGCAGAAGGGAGATCTCCATCACCCCATGCAGCTGAGGCCAAGGAAAATAGGCTGAAGAGGGAGTTATAATCATGGCAATACTGTCAAAATCACAGCTAAGGAACAATTGTGAATATGAAGCAGATACAAATGAGAAACTGTTCTGTTTCCACAACTGCTCCTTACTATTTTGACACTATTACCACAATCACAATGCTCTCCAGCCTACTTTGCTGGACATCAACTTCATGAGGAGGAGGAGCCCCATTCTGGTAACAAGTATTCTGGTGAATAATATTTCTGACAGATTTGGGGGGAGGGGATCTGGCCAGGAGAAGTTACTTAATTAAATTTACTTTGTCAGTGAGGCTCTGCCACAGGATGTAAAATGTCCCAGGTGCATGCAGTGCACAGTGTGCAAAAAGGAGTAAAGCTGACTCAGATGAAGCTGCTGAAACTTCAGCAGGAAGTTGTGTGGTAACAGTTCAAAACAGCATAGTCACTGTGGATATGTGACAGGAAAATGATGAAACACTGGCAGGGGGTTGGGACAGAATCCTAGCCAGATTTTGTGTATATAAGGAAGAATGTTCCATTGCATTGTGGTCAAGTGGATGTCAGTTGGTGGCAGAGAATTATGTCAGATCAAATGGTGTATCATTCTTGTAAATATTTGCTGCAACTAAGAGTAAAAACCTTTTCAAAAGAACCTCAGCAGTCATGAGTAAAACTCTGTTTGGTAGAAGGAGTTTTTATCTTCAACTACTTCTGCAGTGGCATTTGTTTCCTTGCTGGCTGTCTTCTGCATATGGGCTCAGTTTTCCCTGCACTAACATACTTAACTTTCTCGCACGACCCCCATTCTTGCTGCAATCACGTTAATGAAAGGGAATGCATGCATACTGGTTTGTTAGCACTTCCTACTGCACATGAATAGCACGACCAGGCTGTTACCGGTCCCACATGCTCTCATCCTTAACGCTGTCTTCCTACTCTATTCCTATCCAGCATGCCTTTCATTTGCGTGTGGGGGGGGATGCTTTAATGCAATTCCAGAGTTATACTAATGCAATGTAAAATAAATAAATAAACAATTTTTTAAAAAAAACTATAGGCAGTTCTAGAATAGCTAGAGGGAGGGGGGAGAGAAGGAGACACTGATACCACATGAATGCCTAGTTCCAGAACTGTCACTGGAGTAACACTATACCAGCAAGATTGAGAGCTTATTGACAGATTTTTTTCCCATCAATGACAAGGTATACTCTAACAATGCTTTGAGAACAAGGCAGTGATGAGATGGAGTTGGCGTTTGTGATAGGTGTCACCAAAGGCTTTATTTTCCAAATTTTATGATGGTTTAAAAGCTGCATATGATAATGTCTTGGGCAGCTGATACAGAATGCCACCCATAATTTATAGTAAAGTCAAGATATTTTAAAAAATAATAAGATAATCATATTTTTATTTTATTTGTATTCTTATTTATTTATATTTATATTTATATTTCATCAAAAATATAATCAAAAAATAGATTTCATCTTAACTATTCCAAACAGATCTTAAGTCTCTACCATATATAAAAGTTGATTCAACATATACCAATTAAAATGGCTTTTAAAAGGAAGTATAATTTGTTTTCCAGCTTCAGAATTTATTT